TAGGACTCATTTCAGATTTATAATCTATAAGAACTGTGGAATAATAAGTCTGTTTTAAGAGTCTACATTTGCGATACTTGGTTATGTCAGCAAAAGGAAACAAATACCACCAGTAATAGCACTGGGTGACATGGCAAAATGCAAAAACATTCAGCAGAAATAAAAGATCCCTACAGATAACGTCCCACTTTATAAAATTAAACATTTCTGGTGGAAAAAAAAGAAAAAATACTGACCCTGAAACAAGAAAGATAATACCAAACAGTATTAAACCCTTCAATGACTTCATATAACTAAAGTTAGCTTTTTAAAAATTAATGAAACAAAGGGAATGAACATGACAGCTTTTAAAAACAGAACAAACAACTTCTTGAAGTGAAAGTCACTGAAGTAAAAACAAACACTAGAATAAATAGAAAATCAAATACCTCTGAAGAGAGAATTAATGAACTAGAAAAGAGGTCTGCAAACTTTTTTCTCAAAGGCTAGTTAATATTTTAGCCTTTGCATGCTACACAGTCACTGTTGCAGCTACTTAACTTGGCTTTAGTAGTATAAAAGCAGCCATGGTGAGTATGTAAATATGTGTTTTGTGTATATGTCACACAAGCATGGCTGTGGTCCAATAAGACTTAATTTACAAAAACAAGTGGCTCATCTGTAGATTAAAGTTTTCAAGTATAAAACTAGAAGATAGGGCTGGAATTGTGGCTCAGGGGCAGAGCACTTGCTTTGCACATGGGAGGCACTGGATTAGATTCTCAGCACTACATAAAAACAAGTACACAAAATAAAGATACTGTGTTCATCTATAACTAAAAATTTAAAAAATATATTTAAAAACTAGAAAATAAAGCCGAAGAAATTACATATAATGAAGCACCAAAAGGAAAAAAGATGAGGAATGACAAAGAGATATTAAGAGGAATAAAGACAGAATGAGTCTGCACATATATCTAGGTCAGAGTGGTCCAAACTTGTGGTCTCCTCTGCAAACTGGCTTGTTACACCCTATCCCCAGTTGTCACAAAGGTTTCCACAAGCCTGCAGGCAAGATCATGGCACCTACCCCTCCAGGAGCTCAACCATGGACACACAAGTACTATAAGTCCACCTGAGTTTACTTCCAGCAACTCCTATAGAAATGACAAGTCCTAAGGTTAAGCCATCCTCCACCAGCTTGGGTCTCCAAAAGGCCCACCAGGAATACTGGTAGAAAATTTCTGTCTCGGGAAATCCACCTTTCCTTCATATCCCCAGTGTTCAAATCCCCAAAGCACATGAAAACCTGGACCCCAGGCCTCCAGAAACAAGATCACACCAATGGGTGACCAGACTGCCAGCCCACTATAGAGAAAGCCAGGCCCCCATCTTGACTAGGTCCTCTGCATCCAACCCTATAAACTAGGCAGACTCCAGCAAACACAGAGAATTATTTTTCATATCAAAACAGCAAATACCAAACAAAGAAGTCAAGAGAGCTCACTATATACTACCTAAGCATCAAATAAAGTTCCTGACACACATAATTATTTGCCAGCAAAAATATACTCCAAGTAGCCAGCAAAAGGAAAAGAGAAGGAAGAAGAAGATCTCATACATCTGTAAAAGAAGTTCCAAAAAGAAGAATAAGAGAGGTAATTTTTGAAGAAATATCTGGAAATTTTCCTGACAACTATAGGTATAAGTATCTTGTTTCAAGAAGCCAAACAATTTCAGAGCAAGAAAAATGGAAACAAAGTCAACATTTAGACAAGAATAGACTGAATAACTACAAATGCAAACAGAAAAATGATAAAACAATCAGAAAGAAAAGACAATCTCCCTATAATAGAATAGCATTGGATTAATTGAAACTTCTCAAAAGCCACAAAAGAAGCCAAAGAACAATATACTGTGAGGGAAAAAAACACTATTAATGTGTAATAACAGAACCTACTAAATTATAAGTCAAGACTGAGATTAAAATAAAAGCATTAACAGAGTTTATCACCACTGAGCTCAGGTAGAAAGAATTTCAAGAAAGAAATGATGGCTACAAAATGAAGAGCAAGCAAAGAAACTGTTTAACATGAAGGCAGATATAAATAAGCATTAACTGATTAAAAAAAACACAACAATAATGACCAAAGAGGTATAAAATCAAAGTGTCAACAAAATATCAGACAACAATAAGCATGATAGAGGGGTAATCTTTGTATTGCTTGTGAAGAGAGAATAGTTTAATTAGCTTAAAGTTTGAAAATATAAGTGAAAATGTTAAGGTTTTTCTAATCTAGAATATAAATTTCATATATGAATTTCAAATCTATGTGCAGGAAGAAAGCATACTTCTGTATATTTTTTTAAAAAGAGACCAAAAGGAGAGGGAATAAAAGCAAAGCAAAGAGGCTAAAGAAAAAGTAGAAAATAAGAGGGGTGAAATATATCCAAATGGGGCTGGGGATGTGGCTCAAGGGGTAGCGCGCTCGCCTGGCATGCGTGTGGCCCGGGTTCGATCCTCAGCACCACATACCAACGAAGATGTTGTGTCCGCCGAGAACTAAAAAATAAATATTAAAAATTCTCTCTCTCTCTCTCTCTCTCTCTCTCTCCCACTCTCTCACTCTCTCTTTAAAAAAAAAAAAGAAACATATCCAAATATTAGTTAAGAGAAAGAAATACAAACAACTAAATTCAGTTAAAAACAATTGCCAGACAGATTTAAAATTTTCTAAAAATTCCGGTTTTAATATATAGCTCAGTGGCAGAGTACTTATTTAGCATTCACAAGGTCTTGGGTTTGATCCCTAGCACCATAGGGGAAAAAGGGAAGAAAATTATGTTCTAAAAGGCTAGAAAAGTTATCTGGAAGAAAACAAGGAAACCTTGTCATTGTGCTAATGTCATAAAAAATAATCTTTAAAGCATAAAAAGCATTATTTGGGGAAAATACTAAGTGTAACCATACAAGAATATTACAATTCCAAACTTACATGCCCTTATTAATAAACACTTAGAATATATGAAACAAATAATAACAGAATTGCAAGGAAATTAAGAATTCAATAATCAGGATAGGAATAATAATAGTTTTATATAATAAAATTACAAGATTGATCAACTAAACATACAGAATGCCATATCCAAGAATTAGAGGGGAAAAAAAACATTCTTATTAAGCCACAGGGGAACATATGGCTCCAAACCATTAAGCAATTCCAAAATATACCAAACAATTAATAACCTGCAGTGCTCATTCTGTGACAATAATGTAACTAAACTGGAAACTATTTACCACAAAGATAAAGTTAAATATATTTGTTTAGAACATATAAAGAACTCTAAAAATTCAACAGTAAAATAAACAATCCAATTGAAAGTGGGCAAAGGATATGAATATGTTTTATGGAAGAGAATATACAGATGGCAAATAAGCACATGCAAAATGATCAACATCATTAGTTACTAACAAAATGTGAATTAAAACTAAACTGTGAGATGAGTGCACATCTGTAAAGAATTATCAGAAAAAATATCGGCAACACTAAATTCTATCAAAGAAGTAGAGGAACTAGATCACTCATATGTTGCTAGTACGATTATAAAATGTTACAGGCACAGTGGGAAATAATTTGGCAATTTCCTAAAAAGCTAAACACATTAATTACTGTTTGACTCAGTGATTGCTCTCCTGAGAATTTATCTCAAATAAAAACTTATACACATACACACACACACACAATTTTATTTGTAATAGTCAAAAATGGAAATCAGCTTAGATACTCTTCAACAGTGAATGTTTAAACAAAGTTTGCTATGTAAGTAATATGAAGTATCATTCAGCAGTAAAACAAACAAACACACACACACACACACACACACAATACATGCAAGAACCTGGATGAATCTCCAGGAATCACAGTGTAAAAAAAAAAAGTGCCAAAGTTTATATAATGTACAGTTCCATACTTGAAATGACAAAATTAAAGCAATGATAAACAGATTCCTGGCTACCAGAATCAGAAATAACAGTGTGGGCACTACAAAGGAGGCAGATATGGTTATAAAAAGGCAAAATAGGGATCCTTAAGTTAAACTGTTCCATATCTTATAAATTGTCCTACAATGAATCTAATATATACATTATAAATACTTACACATTTTTCTGCAAATTACTTAGATATCTGAACAGCATATTATGGGATATATAAAAAGTATAATTAATGTTTCTCTAAGGTGGGGCTAGAGGTAAAGAGGGTAGGGTACAGGGTGGAAGAAAGGAGGCATATTAAAACTATTTACTTTCAATATTTTGTATTATTTGTACATTTTGTCATGTTTAATGGAATTAAAATTTCGATCAAGACTTGAACAAAATTTTGGGAACTTAAAAACACACTTCTAAATAACCTATAGCAAAAATTAAAAGTCTAGTGGCTATTGGAAAATACTGAACATTCATGGAAGATGGTTATTGTGGTCCTGAGATAGATTCAAATGGCTGTAAATGATTACAAAAAGTAAAAAAAAAAATGCTTAAAAATCAAGTATTAAGAATTTAATTCAAGAAATTAGAAAAAGAACAAGAGTGATTCTAAGCCAAAGAAAGTATAAGGAAGGAAATGATAAGGATAAATTAGATAGAAAACAAAGACAATACTGAAGGAGTCAACAAAGCAAAAGCTAGTTCTCTGATAAGACTAATAAAATGATAAGTCCCTGGCAATAAAGATAAAGGACAAAAAAAAGACAAAAGGCACAAACATTATTATAAATCATGAAAAAAAAAAACAGTGCATAATGATAGCTATAGTACAGTACGGTGAAGAAGGAAGACAGTTATATATGATAAACTTAGGCAGAAGGGAAAGGCTAATTACTGGGGCCATAGTGGAAAAAGGACAATAAGGAGGTTATCTGAGTAGTCCAATAGTAAATGAATGTGGAATGAACTAGAAAGAAGAGTAAAGAAGGAGAAAACTAGTTAGATTTGAGTTGTCTTAGAAGTAGAGCTGACAGTGTTATATGAAAGGAGAAAAGGTTAGCACTCCCCTTGACAAGGATGGAAGAGGCCCTCACACCTGACAGCATGCATACAATTAAGGCATTGCCACCTATTTTTTCCTACCTATCATTTTTAAGATATACAATCAATCAACAAATATATTTAAAAGTGTTCAACATCTCTAGGAATTAGAGAAATGCAAATCAAAACTAAGATTTCATCTCCAGTCAGAATGGCAATTATCAAGAATATATGCAGTAATAAGTATTGATGAGGATGTGGAGAAAAAGGTCCATCATACATTACTGGTGGCACTGCAAATTGGTGCAACCACTCTGGAAAGCAGTGTGGAGATTTCTTAGAAAACTTGAAATAGAACCACTATTTCACCCAGCTATCCCACTCCTCGGTTTATACCCAAAAGACTTAAAATAAGCATATTATAATAATATGACCATGTTAATGTTTATAGCAGCTCAACTCACAATAGCTAAACTGTGGAAGCAACCTAGATGCCCTTCAATAGATGAATGGATAAAGAAACTGGTTTATATACACAATGGAATATTATTAGCATCAAAAGAGAATAAAATTATGGCATTTGCAGGTAAACAGATGGAGTTGGGAATATCATGCTAAGCGAAGTAATCCAGTCCCCAAAAACCAAAGGCCAAATATTCTCTCATCTGATAAGTAGATGCTGATCCATAATGGAAAGGCATCGGAAAAATGAAGGAATTCTGATTGGGCAAAGGGGAGGGAAGAGTGGGGAGGAGGAATGGGGGCAAGAAAGATAGTGGAATGATGGACAGATACACGTATGACTGCATATATGGAGTGATACTACATCAGGTACAACCAGAGAAATGAGAAGTTGTGCTCCATTTGTGTACAATGAATAGAAATGCATTCTGCTATCATGTATAACTAATTAGAACAAATTTTTTAAAAGTTCACATTTTATTTTAAAAAAAGAAACTGGTAGGTCTATATTGCCCACAAAACTATATTTAAAGAATAAGACTAAAGAAAAGACATTATTACATAGATACATAAACAAATTAAATAAATTTTAAATAGATCTTCATAAAAGATATTTCTAAAGGATTTAATTACAGAAAAAATAGAGAAAATCCCAGAAGTAATGTCTATGATGCAAAGAAATGATAAACATTTTGGTATATGCAAACAAACACTGTCTGAAGAATAATTAATTGCATCTAATTTGAGATTAAGAACAAAAACAATCCAAGATGAATTTAAATGCCAGACAATAATAGCGTATGTATTGGAGAGGAGCAAGAAGTACAACCATTTTGAAGTCCATCTGTTGTTCAGCTTGGGAATAGATTTTGATTAACATAAAAAAATGTAGAGCTGACAGGATATGCTGAAGGACTAAACATGGGTTTGAGGGAAAGACAAAGACATTAAAGATAATCTTAAGAAAGTACTTGGCACAGAATGCATGAGATCCTGGGTTCAATCCCCAACACTGCAAAAACTAATAATAAATATCCATATTCCTACCTCAGTAAATAAAGTCTGCACCATACAGCTCCAGTCTAATTCTATTTTTGATGTAGAAGAAATAAAACATAGGTAGAACAGAGATGAAAAGAAGGGCAAGGAAACATAATTTTAATCTGGAATACCTTTCCAGGCCTGTCACACCCCCGGTTAGTTCTTCTACCAAGCCTGTCATTCCAAAATTTATGAGAAATCTGTAAATCTTAGAATTACCAAAAACTCACTCTCTTATGAAAAATATCTTGTGCACTATTAATTAGTCAAGTCAATTAATAGATTAAGCAAAGAAAGATATGACGTTTCTATAATTTAGGGAACTTTCCAGCAATATCTATTGACAGATAATAGACACCATATCAACCTAAAGATCCTGAGAACAACCAGACCACAATAAAACATCTTGTGATCACCAGATTGATGTCATCATCACATATCTTCCCACCCCTCACCAAGTCTCCTTTAAAAGAGCCTGAGAACCCCCAAAACATCTTTCCCTCTCTCAAGATGGCCTACATTCTCCCTTAAATATGTACTCCTTGCTTTCCTCAATAAATCTGAAACTTTAATTGGAATGTTCTTAAATTCATTTCTATGATGTTTCTCAAGAATCTCACTTAAGTCTTTGAGCTGAGGTTCCCCCCTCTAGGAACTCCTTGGTCCTCTTCCAGTGACACCTCAAACTCTCATTAATCTAATCCATTTAGTCTATCAGGATTTCTAGCCACACTAAATTGAACCCCTTGTCATCATTCAATACACAGCTCAAATGTCACCTCTGTGAGACTTTCCACAACTCCCACTGGTAAAATCATTTCTTTCTCTGACTTCTTAGTGCTCATATTTACTAGCAGAAATAGCAGTAGCAGCAGCAATAGCAGCAACAGCAGCAATAGCAGCAACAGCACCACCACCACCATCACTGAGTAACAGATCCTAATGTCTACAATGGTCCACAAATAGGAAATGTCAAAACTCCACTATATACATTATTTGATTCAAACTTATCAACAATCTTATACTTTAAGTGGTAATATTTTCCCTTTTGGTAAAAAAAAATGACTGAAGTATAGAAAGATCAAATAACTTGCTAAAAATACACATCTAATGAGCTAAGACATGAACACAGGCATTCTCACTTAAAAGCCCACACTCTACTACCCTTTGAAGTCAAAGCATTGGAAGATGGCAGAAATGTGAATTCAACATGGAAAACAGCAAAGCAGTTCCTCAAAATATTTAAAATGGCAGTAGATATAATTTAGCTATCCCATACTTCTGAGTGTTTAGCCAAAAGAACTGAAATAGCGATTTGAAGATACATTTGTTCTCACACATTCATAGCAGAATTATTCACGACAGTCAAAAAGTGCAAGCAGTCCAAGTACCTATCAACAGAAAAATGGATAAACAAAATGTGATATACAGAGTGGAATACTGTTCAGTCTTAAAAAGGAAGGAAATCCTCCAATATATGACAACACAGATGAACCATGAAGACATTGAGCTAAATGAAACAAGCTCATCACAAAAAAATTAATAATCTGATACACTTACATGAGGTATCTAGAGTAGTGAAATTCATGGTGCAAGAATGTACAAAGGAGCCTTGGGACTGAATAAAGGGGAGTTATAGTTTAATAGGTACAGAATTTCAGTTTTATAAGACCAAATAGTATTAGAGTTCTGCTGCATAACAATGTGAATACATATAAAACTACTAAACTTTACATTTACAGTGGTTAATATAGCAAATTTTATGTTTCATGTTACCATAATTTTTAAAATATTTCCAAAAAAGCATGGGAAGATAGATCTACCAAACAGAGACACGTGATACTCTTTTATGTGTAATACAGAAATGAAAGATAAAGCAAAGGAAGTAGATTGAACCAGACTATGAAATATCTTATATGCTATAATAAATATTAAATGAGAAAAGAGCTAATCCTGATCCACAACAGAAAAACATCCCATAATTTTTCTCTTCCTTCAGACTTCCTCTTCCACATTATGTATAGATTTTAAGGCTTTCCAGGAGTAAATTTACCAGATTTATGAAATTAACCAACTTTCTGCTTTCCTCCTGAATGTCTGTTTCTTCTCAATCTTCTTAAATCTCTTCATTTGCCCACGACTTAAAAGTTGCCCTTGCCAGGTTTCTATCCCTATCCCATTATACACATATTCAGGGCAATTATATTTACTTCTTTGGTTCTAACTACTATCTGTTTACAGATAGTGCCCAAATCTCTTATCTCCAGGTCTACATCTCTGACTCAGGTTCCTAACATACCTGATTCTCTTCACTTAGAAATGGTATTGGCACTTCAAACTCAATACTTCCAATTTTGGACACATTTACCTTACCTGCCCCAAACGTCAATCCTTAAGCCTAAATTCCCTACACTGGTAAATGAATTGGCAATTTGATGACATCACCATCCATCAAAATGCTCAAAACAGAATCATAATTATTCTTATTCCCTCACCTACTATATATGATTGACCTCCAAAAGTCTTGAGATAACCTCAAATATTTTTACCTTTTTTATCCATCTTGGTTCAGGTAATTCTCTCTCAACTATATCCCTGCAAACAGCCACCTAGCTGCTCTCTACCTCAACTTATTCAAACCACTCTCCACTGTACAGTCCTAAAACATACATCTGATCATTTATTTGCTTAAGGCCATTCAATAGTTTCCTAATGTCTATAACATTAAGTAATTCCTTGAACTAAACACTACTTGCAGTCTCATCTTTGTATTTCACTCCCAGCCCACCAAACACCAGCCATACTCAACTAACTATAGTCTTCCAAACATATGTTCTCTTTTATCCAAATTTTTGCATATGTTGGTCCATTTGTGTGCAATATCCTTCCCAACTCCAATCCAAACTATTTCATTTTATGTGACTTGTCTGTCTAGAGTTAGCTAAGGTGCCGACTTCTATGGGAAACACTCTCCATGAGCCAGGTGTCCCCCATAGCTATATTATATACCTATACACATACACACATACATACATATGCACACATACACACCCATATATAATTTACACAGCATATATAATTATCTGTATAATTGTTCATTCCTTTTACTAGATTGTGAGTCAGTATCCTCGAATTCATTTCTGTATCCTTAACACTTAGCACAATTCCTTGCAAAAATACTCAATGAAAACAAATGACTAGTGACAATATAAAAGCAAGATGAGAATAAAAGCCAAGATTATTATAACTTCATCATCTAAATTTTATCCATGAATTATATCTCTAACAACAGCCATTTGTCCAAAATTTGTATATCATTGATAAAAGTTATTCATGGCCAAAATAATCATTACCAGAAAAAAAACACATATAATTACATATAATAATTAATATTTACCCATCCATTCATCAAGTATCGAATTGTATATAAGCAACAAAACTAAATACTAGCAATACAAAAATAAATAAATCCTGTGATTTAGAAGCATTTAGGCTCCAAAGAAAGGGAAGTAAATGATTAAGAATGTGATAAATGCTGTCAAACTCATATAGTATTATGAAAATCCAGTCATATCTGTGACACATACCAAGGACTGTTTAAGGAAGGAGGA